ATTTTAAAAGCAGCAACAATGGGTATCCTTACTTATCCTACAGTAATCATTACTTGAAAAACACAATATGCCACAATGAAGGTTACATGTACACTTAAAAAATTAAACTCCTTAAAGCACGTTTTAATACATCTACAAAATCTTTTATTTAAAAAATAAAGATTATTCAAAATTACAACACAGCAGAGGATTACACTCCAGGGTCATTATTAACAATTAATGGGATGTAAATTGGTGTCACAAATCAAGCATCTACCTGTGCACATCATGGAAGCTGTCATAAACTGTGGTAACAGTGGAATGGAAGGGAAAGGAATGGGGAAGACAGGCCAACTGAAACTTTAACAATCTTGAGAGCAACATAAAAAAAAAAAAAAAAAAAAAAAGGAAGAAAGCACACTGCTCTGAAGGCAGCACATTTCTTATCAGTTTTAAAATCCCTGCTTTTAAAAATTGGAATCACAAAGCTTAAAAAAAAAAAAACGAACTCCTAAATGAACACTGGCACAGGCACAGGCATGTGCAACCATATTTTGTTCTCTCTATTGATACTCCCTATATCTGGTAAAGCTGGGAAGACATACTCTAAAAATATTGCAGAGGAAGCATAAGGGATTAATTATTATAGTTATAACTCATACCAAATCCAGGTATTATGATTAGTAGCATACCAAAGATATTATGTAAGTAACTGACATGCTTATTAGTATGGCAATTTAATGAGCATACAAATCTAGACAAGAATAAATGAGAGTAGAGTAAGTGGCTACAGGGTAAAACAAGGAAAACTCCCAGGAAAAATGCTATTACCTGAGAATAAATCGAGATCTGGCCATACACTTGCTAACGACTTGCTGTACTTTAGATCTCTGACTCATCAAATCTGGGCAGAAGCCTAGCCTTAATTTCAATGAGTCACTTTACAGCTTTCACCATAACATGGCAGCATAATATTCCAAATTACCAGATAAGCTTTCCTGCCTATATAACACCCTACTGTAATGGTGTACATTAAAAAACATGAGGAAAAACTATTTCGTAAAACATAATCAAAACCTGGTGCCAAGCAAAGGTAATTATATCTACAAAGTATATTATGATAAGTTAATTAGCCAAGGAAAACCAACAAAATAATATTGAGAGGGAGTCAAACAATATTATAAGTAGGTATAGATTCAAATAACTATGTATTTAATGCAAAAAAGAATGAAGTACCCTTTGATAATGATCACCATATTTTTTTGGCATACAACATGTGCTCCCCCCCCCCCCCAAGAAAAGTCTTGGAAAATCACCCTGCATCTTATATGCTCAAGGTCAGGGGTCAAAAGTAGGCTTTGGGTTACTGGCAAGTGGTGCTTTATAAAAGGACATGCAGTTCATTATAGTAATACAGTTGTAATACTTGTAATACCCTCATGCCTTATATGCCGGAAAATATGGTACTTTTGTCTTAACAGAAAGTCAATAATGAATGCTTATACTTTTGCCTTCCTTCATTACAGCAAATGATGCCATATGTATGGCCGTAGACAGACATACCCAGAGGCAGCAAATTAATCTTTTGAGATACAGTACATGTTAAAATAACAGAGCAAGAAGCACCATGTGATGTAGTAATGTTAAAGAAAAACTATCATGACATGAGAGACAAATTCATGAATATCCCAAGTAACAAACTTACACACATATGAATGAGTCACTCAAGAACCAATTAAATTTTTATAATTGCTGATCTACAGTTATGAACATGTGTGAAACAATGCCATCCATTGTACTATTGTTTTAACACAGTGTATACCTTTATCAATGTGAAAATGCCATTACAATGAAGGGTTATATCTGCGTGTCTTTTTATTCAATTGATTCACTCTCTCTTCTGTCAACTACAGCCTCTCCTTACTTAACGACGGAGTTCTGTTCCTAAGATCACATTGGTAAACGAATTCATAACTAGGTGAGGAGCATACAATAATGGTAGTGGTTTGTGTCATCCACTTTTGATATTGTTTTAATGTCACCTCTGCACCATTTATGACATTTCTGGTGTATTTTTAAATGTTTATAAAGTACTGTACATTGTAATTAACAGAACAGAGGAAGTCAGCTCTAATATACATTATTTAGGCATGCATACTTGTCAAAGTGCCCGTCCTAAGTCCAAGTCGTCGGTAAACGAGGACGGCTCTAAGTGAGGAGAGGCTGTATTGTTGCCTGAAGGAAGATATTTTCTCTTACAAACAACTCCTTTTTAACTTAGAAACACCTGAAACAACTTGCACTTGAATTTCTTCCACTTCCTGCAGCTTTTAGCTCTACTGTATTACAAAATTACTAAGGCATGTTGATGCTCAGCCTCCACACTACTGGCTTGCTAATGCTCCTCTTTCACCAAGGTGTGTCATTAAAGGACACTGCTGATATAAATTTTTAAATAATTTTAAAATAATAATCATAAAAATTGCTATTGTAACAATTTTCAAAAGAACATATAGTAGAACAATTAAATTTTATTTTAATATGTACTGTACATTCTAACAAAAATGGTGAAAGGAACAATACTATATTATATAATATGATAATATTGCCTGTTTTACTTATTAAACTAACAAGTACTGCACAATAATTCCCCCCCTTAACTGTTTTAGTTAGTTTGCTAACTGAAGGAGGATATAGTATTAAGGACAATTTAATACGACACCTTCTCCATGGGCAACGGAGAAGAGTCCTTCCTTTGTAAGCCGTGCGTGTTGTAAGAGGTGACCAAAATGTCGGGAGGTAGGGGCTAGTAACCCTTTCTCCTGTATAAATTACTAAATGTAAAAAGAAAAATGAAAATCGCTCTTTTTTTTTTTTTTTAGGTCACTCTGCCTTGGCAGGATACGGCAGTTACATTGAAAAAAAAAGTATGACACCTCTAGTACCCAGTTTGAGAGACTTCATAGCATTTTGTGCCAAATGGAGTAAAAGAGAGACCATGTTATTCTCACAGTAAAAGGATCACATGCAACACTATCAAGACAGGTTGGGTGGAAAGCTTAGTTCACTTTATAGCTTTTGGATGAACTTACAAAATCACACTGCAGATTTATTTACAAAGTACAGCACATACTAGAACAATTTTCAACAAAATTAACTATCTGCTACCACTGATACCAACAGTGGCTACCATGGCTAATTCACTGACATAGTACAGCAATCATAATCACAGTAAATACAAATTTAAAACCATTAGCTGTAGTGCAACTAATGGTCTTGAATTTGTTTATGCTGTGATTATGATTATCTATGTCACACCATTTAGGTGTAAGAAGTGGCAGCATAAATCCACACCAGTCGAAACTACAGTACTGTACAACACATCTATTATCCATTCCAAGTTACAGGTGATAAGCAACAGCAAAATATGACGAAAGAAGAAATCTCAACACTATTTTGGCAAAAAGATGGGATTCTGGGTTATTTGGCATGTACAGTACTCAGGAGCTCAAACCCAGCCACTTAGAAAAGGTGGCCTAGTGTTTGAGAAAACAGTCTGGCTGACCAAGCAGTCAGCAAAGAAGGTAGAAAGGACCTTGAAACCAGTTACATGTATGCCACAGCTTCAATGCAAACTGTATACTTTATACACTATCAGAAGGATTTCTGTAGCAAGTGTAGAATTTTTCGAAAGGAAACTGGAACGCTACCCCTACGAAGTACAAGATCAATCAGGTTGTGATGGATATGTAGGCCAGTGAGCCACCAACAGAAACAGCCTGGTTGAACAAGCAGTCAACAGAAAAGCCTAGTCCCAGGTCAGGCTACAACGAAGAAAAACTCCTGAAACCAGTCACAGATATACCACAACATGAATTCCAAAAGGTCTAAATTAGCAGGAATTGTACTTTGAGAAATATGAGAGAAAGCATTATGCACTCTGGACACCAAAGTGGATATGGTATTACAGGTCCTTGATGGTGAGAAACAGATGACATCTGAAAACTTAAGAAGGGCAAGAAGTTTACAGATGATAGATGTGCAAATCATGTCACTGCTGCTATTGTTACATATATTTGTTTATGTTGTAGGAAGACTTAAAAATGCTTCTCAGTGTATGTCTCGAGCACCAGACCCTAGTTTGCACCATGCCAGATAGCATGGTACAGTGAATAATGCACTGGCCTGCTAGTTTTAGGTCTGGTTCACTATGGGTTTGAACCCTTCACTTAGTGAGATGTTTACAACAATTGTCATTTTATTTTCGCAAGTCATGACTTAAGCGGTTTGTCTCATGTATCAGAGAACTAAAATGCTGCCAAAGGGCCACTATGAATGTACAGAGGATTCTCCACATGCATTTTTATTATAAAGAATCTTTTCACCTACATCTATAATATATAGTACAGTTTTTGTTTCTAAAATCCTACATATATTGATACAAAGCAGGAAAACTTATTCTGGTTTTGGTTGAAATCCACATTGTTTATTGACATACAATTCTAACTGTCCTAATGCTCCTGATATTATCTCTATCCATTACCTGTCATCCATATTGCATCTTATTAATTCTTTGAAAATATAAATACTGTATGGAGTCTAAAACCTCTACAGTTTAATGTGGTATCAATCAAAATATTGCATTAGTATCTCAAACCAAATTAAAATTCAGTTTTGGATTATATAATTACAGCTGTGGATGACCAGGAATGCAAGTTGTAGAATGGTGATGACTAATGCTATTTAATGCAAAGTGGCTGTGCATTACTAGCAAATGTCAACACCGTATGAGGCGTCAAAACACAGACAGGAATTGCTGTTAATGATTAAGGCAAGATTCACTTCCTACCGCTTCTAGCATATCGTCAACACAGCCATGACCAGCTACAAGATAAAGTACTACTCACTTTATCTGACTACCATTCGTGGTATTTTGCTTTCATATACTAGTCACCTCAACATTCAAATCTGGGATGAGCCCACTGTTGGGACTGAAAGTGTGGAATGTCTTCCCAACTTACCAAGCCCACGGGCATGGCCACCCCAAAAAGCATGAGTGCCGTGTCCGACACCGTTTCGTGATCGGTATATGGGTAGCGGATTGACTCGTCATCACAATACATGCCCCGTTCAAATGGAGACCACACTTTCTTCACCACAAATATGCAGCCTGCCACTGAAAAATTAGAATGATTGAAAATTCCACATAACGCTTCAAAATTAAAATGCTAATGCCATGAGCTGTGATGTACACTTGACACGGAAGAACTTCAAGATTAATCGTGCAGAAAAAAACATATACGGTATATAAAAACAATTCTTTATGAAAAATTTGTCTAGGTTCCAATGTGTGGTTTTACCTACTCAATTATGTCAACACACGTCATAGAAGATAAGCCAGCAAAGTAATAATGGAAGACTTGCCAGTTTCCTAGCTTTAACTGTACAGCAGAGGTGACTGACAGACTTATACATTTCAAACAAAAAACACAAATAGCCTGAAAGCGAATATTTTAATACCCAGTAAGACCAAAACATAAAACCATGCAAGGTAGTCATGTTATTGAAAAGTCTGACCTCACATCAATTGCAATATAAGCTATTTTAATCATTTTCTATTTAGAAATATGTAGTGGGTCAAATGTTTTACAGAATCATGTTTAGGTAAATCATTCATAATGGTTATAAATTGTAATAAAAGCTATTTTTTAGCATTTGAAAGTACAGCAGAACCCCCGTATTCACTGATTCAGTATCCACAGTTTCAATTATCCATGGCTTACTGTAACCAGAAAACATTTTTTTATTTTTTTTTTATTAACACACTGGCCGATTCCCACCAAGGCAGGGTGGCCCGAAAAAGAAAAACTTTCACCATCATTCACTCCATCACTGTCTTGCCAGAAGGGTGCTTTACATTACAGTTTTTAAACTGCAACATTAACACCCCTCCTTCAGAGTGCAGGCACTGTACTTCCCATCTCCAGGACTCCAGTCCGGCCTGCCGGTTTCCCTGAATCCCTTCATAAATGTTACTTTGCTCACACTCCAACAGCACGTCAAGTACACCTACCATCCGACTTACGACCGAGTTTGGTTCCGAGAAACTGGTCGTAAGTCAAAATGGTCGTAAGTCGAATTTTACTACTGAATATCAACAAAACATTTTTGTAATGAGTATTTTATTGTTTTATTTTGGTATTTCATGTTTTACTTTACTTTTTATGTTGTTAGTACTGTATTTTATACTGTAAGGTTTAGGATAAACACTGTGTACAACACAAATAGTTGTTTATTTCCCAGAAATTTGGCATAAAAAACATAGTAGTAAGTCGAGTGGTCGTAAGTCGGATGGTAGGTGTATTAAAAACCACTTGTCTCCATTCACAGCCCCATAATGCACAAGCAGAGAAGCTGGCAGTTCTTCAATGCCTAATAGGCATGTATAGGACTTACATACAGGGTTTGCTACTATCCATGGTTTTGGTATCTATGGCAGGTCCTTGGAATGTATCCCCTGTGGATACTGGGGTCTCGGTGTACAAGAAATACTAAGCAATACAAAGCAATCAGTATACTAGTACACAATACAATGGTTTACCTTTAGTCATCATTTTGAAAAATAAAGGCACTGTAATTTCACATTAAGGAAGGATGTTTAATGACAATACAGTTGAACCTCGACTTACGAGTGCGAGCCGTCACTTGGTCAATTTTTTGCTCTGAGTTACGAGCCAAAATCCGAGTTACGAGCGAGCTTCCCCCCCTTAAGGGAGGTTCCTTGATGCTGGTGAGGGGCTCTTGATCTAAGGAATTGGATCTGTGCTTCAGTTCCCTAAATTAAGCCTGAATACCTTCCATCCCCTTCCCCCTACAGGCGCTGTATAATCCTACGGGTTTAGCACTTCCCCATTATAATAATAATAATATTGAGCAAGCTTCAGAATGCCGCCACTAGTTGGTGCAGTGAACGCCACCACATGCAATCAGCAGTGCGTGTGTTTATTTTGCTGTGGAAGCATTTCTCTTGTGTTTTGCTCGCATTTTGTGCAGTTATGTATTTTGCCAAATTTCTTTTTTCTAACCATGGGTCCTAAGAAAGTAAGTGCAAAGGACAGTGCTGACAAGAAAAAGAGTATGATATCCATGGAATTAAAGCATGAACTCTTAGATAAACACAAGTGAGGTGTACGGGTTGTGGGATGTAGCATTAAGAGTGTATCAAGTAAAACAGTGAAAAATGAAGTGAAAAAAAAAATAAAAAACATATTGTAGCAGTTAAGTTCAGCGATAAAGTGTAGCATTAACCCTTTGACTGTTTCTGTCGTATATATACATTTTATGAGCCAGCGTTTCAGATGTGTTAATACGCCAAAATTATAGTGGCTTCAAATTAAGCAAGAAAAAGCTGGTAGGCTCATATGTGAGAGAATGGGTGTGTGGTCAGTGTGTGCAGTATAAAAAAAAACCCTGCACCAAGCAGTGCATGAGGAAAAAAAACTCAGGCCATGCTTTTGGATTAAAATGCCAACTTTGAGGTGTATTTCATATAGAATTTATGGGTGTATTCTCATTTTCTTGGCCTCATTTGATAGAATGGAAGGCATATTACAGAAATGGAGATGATTTTGATTAGTTTCACGATGAATAGGACCTTGAAACTGAGCTCAAAGTAGCGGAATTTTTTTATTTTTGCCGATGTTCAAGAGTAAACAAATCACGCCATGCATCCAATACATGTCAACTGGTGAGTCTAACAGTCTTTCGCAAGTGCACTGACATTGGGATACTGGCAGTTTGGAGGGATATGTTTTGTATCTTTATACGTATATGTTTCTAAACTGTTGTATTCTGAGTACCTCTGCAAAAACAGTGATTATGTGTGAGTGAGGTGAAAGTGTTGAATGATGATGAAAGTATTTTCTTTTTTTGGATTTTCTTTCTTTTTGGGTCGCCCTGCTTCAGTGGGAGATGGCCGACTTGTTAAAAATTTTTTTTTACAATAATGTAGTAGTCTGCATAACAGTAAATCTTCTATTTTTTTGTGAATAAAAATTCAAAATAGAAAGCAAGAGTAATATAAGAGGGGCCTAGAGACATGACTAATGAACAGAGAAAATGTTGACGATGTGGAGAGACTGTTGTTGGTGTGGATAACGAAAAACAATTATCAGGAGATAGTGTTTCTCAGTCAATAATATGTGAAAAGGCAAGGCAGTTGTATGCGGATCTCATTAAAAAAATGCCTGGAACTAGTGGTGATGTTAGTGAATTTAAGGCCAGCAAAGGTTGGTTTGAGAGATTTAAGAATCGTAGTGGCATACACAGTGTGATAAGGCATGGTGAGGCTGCCAGTTGTGACCAAAAAGTGGCTGAAAAATATGTGCAGGAATTCAAGGAGTACAAAGACACTGAAAAATTAAAACCCCAACAAGTGTAATTGTGACGAAACAGGCCTGTTTTGGAAGAAAATACCATACAGGACCTACATTACACAGGAGGAAAAAGCACTGCCAGGACACAAGCCTATGAAAGACAGGCTAACTCTAATGTTTTGTAGTAATGTTAGTGGGGATTGCATAGTGAAGCCTCTACTCGAGTATCACTCAAACTCCCAGTGTTTTCAAGAAAAACAGTGTCGTCAAGGCTAATTTGTGTGTGATGTGGAGGGCAAACAGTAAGGCATGGGTCACTAGGGACATTTTCCATGATTGGCTTTATCATGTGTTTGGCCCCACTGTGTAAAAATACCTTCTGCAAAATAAATTGGACCTCAAGTGCCTCCTGGTATTAGACAATGCTCCTGCTCATCCTCCAGACCTGCCAGAGCGAATTGCAGGGGAGTTGAGCTTCATTAAAGTGAAGTTTTTGCCTCCTTAATACCACTCCTCTCCTCCAGCCCATGGACCAGATGGTCATTTCAAATTTAAAAAAAAAAAAAAAAAAACAAAAAAAAAAAAAAAAAAAAAAAAAAAAAAACTGTACACCAAAGCAGTTTCGAAAGTGCTTTGAAGTGACCTCAGACACTGAATTGACCCTAAGAGAGTTTTGGAAAAATCACTTTAGTATCCTCAGTTGCATAAACCTTATAGGTAAGGCTTGGAAGGGAGTGTCTAACAAGACCTTGAACTCTGCTTGGAGGAGGAAGTTGCCTTCTTCAACGATTAAGGACATTTGTACAATGTGGACAAAGGTGCAAGCCTTTATGGAAGAACATCACCCTGACACAGTTATTGCAAGCCGTGCTGGTGATTTTTCAATGACAATGTTGTGGCCCATTTTAGGAAACTCTTAAAGGTGCGCCAGGTACAGAGTTCTATGGACAGATTTTTGGTGCGAGAGAGGTCCAGTGACTGTCAAGTTGTTCCCAGGGGCATTAAAAAATAAGGGAAGTAACCCAAGAAAAGGACTTGGTACCTAAAGTCCTTATGGAAAGGGATTCCCCTTCCAAAAAATAATACACCTCCATCTCCCCTCTTCCCATCTGATCACCCATCAATAAATCTTCAATAAAAGTAAGTGTCATTTATTTATGTGGTATTTATTGTGCATGTATCATTGTTTTCTGTGTAGGAAAATGTATATTTCATGTGAATTTCTTTTTTTTCATACTTTTGGGTGTCTGGAATGGATTAATTGGATTTCCATTATTTCTTGTGTGGAAAATTAATTTGGCTAACGACAAATTCGGGTAAGGAACGGATTAAAATCATTGGTCGAGGGTCCACTGTATGTACGTACACTTTATAAAACCAGTTTATTTCTTTACATTCTCTATTGTGCTTTTATACAATATTTCTTATTTATAAATACACCTACCATCCGACTTACGACCTGCTCGACTTACGACCACTCGACTTACGACCGTGTTTTTTATGCCAAATTTCTGGGAAATAAACAACTATTTGAGTTGTACACAGTGTTTATCCTAAACCTTACAGTATAAAATACAGTGCTAACAACATAAAAAGTAAAGTAAAACATGAAATACCAAAATAAAACAAAATAGTCATTACAAAAATGTTTTGTTGATATTCAGTAATAAAGTTCGACTTATGACCATTTTGACTTACGACCGGTTTCTCGGAACCGAACTCGGTCGTAAGTCGGACGGTAGGTGTACATTGTTTCACTGCTTTCCTTAAAAAACTAGTGATCTAGTGCAGGTAGCCTCAC